TACTTCCAACAATGCCTTTCGAAGTTCTTAGACACATCAACTGCTTTGAAAGAAATGGTTATAAGGCGCAGAAGCACTCAAACCTTACACTTTGTGGCCTTTTCAACTCCAGTCTACTCCCAAAACTACATCTTTTCATTTTTCATAAAAAAAAACCCTCATCATTGTAAAATCCATAGTTCTTATGTGCTGCAATTTCTTAATCTTATTTTGTTAACAATAAAGTGAACCTTTCCTCCTTCTATTGGTCTTATAGTATCCTCAAACTTCTAGTGTGGAAGATTGACTTACTCAAACTCTCTTAGGTGAGGGTCCTACTCTTCCTTCGTTCATTAGTGAAAGTGACCAGAACTACGGCTCTATGTATCTAACCTATGATGGACGATACCATATATCCAATCTTGAGCAAGCCCCCTACACATGAAGCTACGTGATCGTCTTAAGAAACACGCTCTATTTGACTACAATTGCACCAGTGAGCAATCTGTTTTTCACTTCAACCATTCCAACTGCAGAAAACACTGAAAACCTTTTTTTTGTTGTTATTAATAAGCATGCAAATGATACTGTACATTGCATTGAGTACGTTGTTAACAGATAAAATAGGTGTTGGAACAAGTTGAAGAAAACATAAAGAGCAAGAGTGGTCTGCTGTTTAATCATCGAAGTGCTCCTTGTCGAAGACATACTCTCCCATTCCAGGTCCAAGTCGTTTGAGATTCGTAACCATCTTGGCAATTTGTGCAATCGACTCTACCTAGAAAAGTAAGAGTCGATCTTAGATCTTCATATGGTAAATGAGGAGCCAAATTCGCCTACCTGCTCCTCTAGGAATTTCGATTCAATGTAGTCACACATGTGTGGATCATTGCTAGCGCTGGCCTTAGCGTGAAGGTCGAGAAGTGATTGATTGTTGAACTTTTCAAGAGCAAGAGCCGCCTGCAAAACAAATTCGAATTTTCATGTGAGTAGCTGTGGGCGACTAGCGCAGTAGAACTTCAGCTTTCCATCCAAAGAAAAATGTAAAAGCAGTTACCCTATTAAAAATGTTTGTCAAATTTATATTTATTTTTTTGTTTATATATAAAGTACAAAAGGTAGTTGTGTGTGTGTTCGTATGTTCCAGATGCAAATTTTTCTTTATTTGATCCGGACCAAATTTCGCGCATCAGCACTCACACTTCGGTGCACTGCGGGTAACGTGGGCCACCTATTGGAAAATACCGATTGGTTCTATTGATTTATTGATTTCTGGCAATTTT